TGTTTAACAAATTTTCCACAACCTTAGAGACCTCCAAAACTTACGTAGGGCAAATTGTGTTTTTCTTTGACTCTAGTGTTTTGGTCCAGTGGGATTTATGAAAAGTTCAGTTTCTTTGTCTGAGGATGAAGAATGGAAGAGAATGCGAACATTGCTGTCTCCAACCTTCACTAGCGGAAAGCTCAAGGAGGTAAGAAAAGAAGAGGACTTTCAATGAGAAAGTTAAGGAATACATCTGGGGGCTGGTAGGAAATAAGATCATATTCCATCTTTAAGGGGTAGTATGCTAAATTTGGGCTTCCTAAAAATGGTCTTTATCTTCATGTCCTAGGAAAGACATGATAAGGTTTGTTATTAAATGTCCCTTACTGCCACATGCTTATGAAAGCCACATCATTCTTGGACTTCATTTTCCAATTTAACTTCAGGTGGTGGTATATTTTGTGTGTAGATGTTCTCCATAATTGGCCACTATGGAGATGTGTTGGTGAGGAACCTGAGGAAGGAGACAGAGAAAAGCAAGTCCATCACCTTGAAAGAGTAAGTAGGAGTACAGCTGCTGGGATTCCAACTCTGTCACAACACTTTCTAGCTGTTGCCACAGAGCCAAATCCCCACTGTTGAGTTACTCCAGCAAAGAAACATGTGGTATCACAATGCCAGTAGGTCATCCAAGAAGAGGGAGTTCACCTAAAAAGGTAGGGCCACCAGAAAAGAAAGGGTCTTCTTTTGTGCACACGAGGCAGGATTCATTTATCTGCTTAGTTGTCACCTAGGATATTCTGGAAGATAAAAATACGTGGTTGAAAAGAAGACACATGATTGTATCAAATCTTTGAGTGTAGAGGGTATGGAATGGTGGAAGGGGAAGGCACTTGGTACATATTGGTGGGCACTGGGTGGGGCAGGAACATTAACATGTGGAACTTGGAATGATGTAAACCCCTTCCCAGTTTTGTTGAGGGTATTAGCAAAATACTAAATATTAACTTTTATGACCACTTGTCCTTCTTTCAATCTCAAAAGAGAGAAAGTCCTGCCCATGGGATGGGTAGGGTGACCATATTTTTTTGTGTAAACTGAGATATTTTTTAATTTTACTAAATGAAGAGATGTATGTTGGTACTCTCCTGGGAAAACTAGTGGCATATGATCACATATGTCATCCCCTAAATCAATTTTGGATTGATTTATTTAATGTATATTTTTAAAGTAGGAATGTTTTAGGTTCTTACATTTTCTAGAAATGAGTGAGCCCTCAGAGCGAGCTCAGATCGCTGGAGTTGAGACAGAGTGGGTCTTTCAGGAGACTTAGCAGGGGTGTAGAGAAGAAGGGATGGTGTTCCTGGCATTACAGAACAGGGTGTTGGTGTTCTGTCATGTGCTGAAGAGGAATCAGCTCTGAGCATAGATACTGTGGTGAGAGAAAATCCAGATCAGTTTCACCTTTCTTGACTCCCTGAGGAAAGGTTAATTATTCCACCCTTGGTCCTGCTCAGACACAGTGCTTACCCACCTTCTACTGCCCATACACAAAAGACATTACTGTAATTTGTCACACTTTGGGTCTCTATCACTCCATGACTGAGCTCCTTGAGCTCAGAAATGTGTCTGATTTGCTCTAGTGTCCCCATCACCCTAGCACAAGGCCAGCTCTATCACTGCCACCTCATGAACACCACATGAGTGAGTGTGATGGCATATAGACTTTTCAGATGATGCAGCAGGTGGTTCTGAAAGTGTGGCTCTTGTCTTGCCTGGGCATGGGTATCTACATGCACTTCTTGCTGCATGTGTTGGATAAGGATAGTAAAGAGTTGTTGATCTTAATTATCCATGTCTTTGTTTCTCTCACAGCATCTTTGGGGCCTACAGCATGGATGTGATTACCAGCACATCATTTGGAGTGAACATTGATTCCCTCAGCAACCCACAAGATCCCTTCGTGGAAAATATTAAGAATTTCTTAAAATTTGATTTCCTTGATCCATTATTCTTCTCAGTGTGTACGTACAGTACCATTTTTCTTTTTATCGTCCCATCCCTTTTTTTCCCTTCCTTCCTTCCTCCCTCACGTCTTCCCTTCCTACCTTTCTACAACAATTTTACTGAGCTATAACTTCATATAACATATATGTCCCCCTTTTTT